TTTCCATGGTCAAGTCTCTATATAGTACCAAATATCTGAAAGGAAAACATCAAAATGTAATTTGTAATGACCAGATGTCAGGCTTCTTGTGGATGTACAAGATCAAGGTGAATGAATGAATTTTTAAAATTACATTTATTGACATACTTTGAATCATGTAGCTTTTACCTTCTGCAAGAAGTAATTTTGAAGGAAATGAAAAGGCTATGGAGTTAGTTAAAAAAAAAAAAATCATGTGCAGATTATACAGGAGCGCTAGGAGTTAATATCACTTTAAGGCCCAGTCAGCTCCTAAAAAGATCACATCATTGGCAAGGAAGCCATTAAAAATTCTGACCTCCCTACTTCAAATTTACTGCTCAAAAGGGTAATTTTGCATTATAGTTTTGTAGACGTGGGTCCCCTTTGACATTTTTATTTTAGACAAATGCAGACTCTAACATTCTTGAAATCGCTAATTCACATCAGCTGCTGACAGCATTCTCTTCTCTGTTGAAAACATGGCAGAGAACATTGTTTCTACCTTGTGATCCTTGTGAACTAGGCAGCATGCCTGTTGACACGTGGTGTCCATTTACATAAAATCACACTGGAGCAAAAGTTAATTTTGCTCCAAAAATACACAGCCTCCCGAATAACTTTTCAGATTTCCTTTGTTAAGAAATTTAAATTCATTTTATGAATGTATATGTGTTTTCCTAACTGTCTGATTAAAGATCACAAAGAAACTCTGGTTTTTGCATCTCACATTAGCAGATGGTGGACAGATGGTTTAAATTAATATTAATTTTGGAAAACTTAGCTTAAATTGTTTATACTGAAGATTAAAAGTTGGAAAGCCAGCTAACATCTCCAGGGTTATTAGTACTTCCAACCCACTTGAAAAGTAAAATTCAGAAAATCAAACCATGTACTTCTAAAGCAATCCACATCTTAATCAGAAAGATAATGGATAAAACATAATGCCTTGATGTTGAAGAAGATTAAAATAAGAATGAGAAAGATAAAATACAGATCCTGGAGTGAAAAGAGCTTTGAAAGAGTGACATTTTATTTATAAATAAATTGCATTACATTAATTAGTAATGAGCTTTTAAAAGAACTTCTGTATATACAACTGCTTATTTTAATTTTTATTGTGATATTAAGCTATAACGTAACCATTGCACATACTTATGGGTAACATTGCTTATATTTTTAAAGAGTGATTTATTTTATTTTATTTAGTATTATTATTATTATTTTAAATTTGACCAGAGAGAGAGAGAAGGAAAGTGAGAAAGCAAGTCGCCAGATCTAGGACTCAAACCCTTATCAGCCATGTCGGAGTCCAGCACCTAAACCACCATAGCACCCCAACGTTGCTTATTTTTAAAAAGCATAATTCATTGGTAATTGGTTGCTAACTGAACCAGTTTTTCTACATTGAGTTTTTATTCCTGTTACTTGAAATTTTCCTCATAGTTTCTTCTCATTTCGTCACTCCTAAGGGGGATGGGGAATGGAGATGGGGAGCAGAGAGGGAATGTGTGTATTTGTAATGAATTATAGACAAAATAAAAGCTCTGGCATGCATGCTGCCTGCTTCAGTAGGCCCAATTACCGGTAGCACCTACAGTCGTGATTGAACACATTTATTTTTGTCTTTCCATTTAGATAGATGAACATAGAAAATTGGTAGGGGGACCAGCAGATGGCGGAATGGTTATGTCACTGGACTCACATAGTCCACTGCGCACGTTGGGTGCGTGTGCGTGCGTGCTCAAGATCCCAAAAGGAGAATGGAAGAGAAGGGATTGTGATGTGGCCTTCCCCCCTAGGGGTGTGATTTCTCGCTTTCTGTCTCCGGTGAATGCACACACCGTATATCCAAAATAAATAAATAAATAAATAGATAAATAAATAAATAACTCTATTAAAAAAATGATAGGAGAAAACATTCAAAATATTCTCTGAAAAATTGTGTTTTATAAATGAAACCTTTGTACACTATCTGAATTTTAGGGAATAATGTAAAATAACCCTAAAGATATTTAGCAAAATTCTTTCATTTACTGAAAGGAGAAAAGTATGAATCACCACCTGTGAAAATACAAGCTTTGCCTAAAATTATATATTTTTTACAAAATAAGAGAATTGACTTCTTAAAAAATTATTTGTCAGGCAGATGCTGGCAGTTTTATTTAATTAAACTGCTATGGTAAAGCAGGTGTCATAAAATATGCCAAAATTCAGTTGATTCCTTTTTGCTCTCTCTGGAACAAAAGAAAACAACAATAAAAGAGTTCAGTTTACTGGGACCAGCAGGTGGCGTGGTGGTTAGGACACTCCCATGTGGCTGACCATGGTTCAAGTCCCAGACCTGGTGGCTTGCTTTCTCACTTTCTCTCTCTCTCTCTCTCTCTCTCTCTCTCTCTCTCTCTCTCTCTCTCTCTCTCTCTCTCTCTCTCTCTCTCTCTCTCTCTCTGTTCAAATGAAAATAAAGTGAATAATAAATAAAAATGAAACAAAAAAAACAATTATTAAAAAAAAAAAAAGAGTTCAGTTTACTTTGTAGAAGACCGCTTAGAGATCGGACCAGAATGAGTAGCCACCTCTAACTTTACTCTCATTTCTAGATCGTCTCACATTATTAGATAAATCAAGGGAAATGGAGTGAATAAAATTCAAGTCATATGATTCATTTTTAGAAATAACATTATAGCACATGTGTTGATGTATATTAAAACTTAAATTATGTTTTTAAATTTGAAAACAAAAACACATGTATTTTGTTTCTAAGATTAAGTCAAATGGCTGAAAAACTATTCCAAAACTTTATCCTAAATATCTTATCCCAAATTGAATTGAATTTCTGTGATGCCATTTGACTTGCCATAAATGACAAGTGAGAAGTTGTTCATCTAAGAAAGCCACACACACATCCACACACACTCGCTCACATGTACACATAGGAATGATAATGAAGTCAAGTCAACAAATAATTAGACACTAAAGTTTGTAGGATCCTCTAAATTTCATGTTTGTTCTTGGACAGGAAAGACTTGTTAAATGCCATGATTGAATGCTATCTGAATAATATGTCTAATTAGAAGGAATCTTCAAACAGTACTCTAGAGAAAAGAAACAGCACTGTGAGGTACAGGGTTGCATGCCCTGAAAGTCACTGCTTGTCTCGGCTCTGCTATTAAAAATGGCAGCATAATCTTGTCCTTAAGCCACTCTTGACTTTCTTCATCTTTCTCAACTGTTACATGCAAGGGTTGTACTAGCAGCTCTCCAAGGTCCCTATCCCTTCTGGATTTTCTTTCTTTTCTTTTTTTTTTTTTTTTTTTTTTGGTTTTTGCCATAGGACACATGTGCTCCCCATGGAGAGAGAGAGAGAGAGGGAATGAGAGGGAAAGTAAGAAATTACTCACGTAATTTTCAAGCTGCCAGGTTGAGGACTCCAACCATGGTCAGTCATCTGGGAGTCCAGTGCCTGAACCAACATAACACCTGCTGGTTCCCTCTTCTGGTTTTAAGACCCAGATCTTGATACAACTGTGATCTTCGAAGTGCTTTTTTAGAATAATTTCAGAATCTTATCAAAAATAGAGACTTGTTGGGACCAGCAGGTGGCATGGTGGTTAGGGTGCTGAACATTCCCACATGGCCGACCAGGGTTTGAGTCCTGAATCTGGTGGCTTGCTTTCTCACTTCCTCTCTCTCTCATTCTCACCCTCTGCCTTTCTCTGGTCAAACTAAAAAGTAAATGAATGAATGAATAAAATAAAATAAATAATTATAAAAAAATAGAGACTTGTGGATCCTACTCATAAGCCTTATGAATCAGAATCTTGCAGGAATCTGTATTTTTCACATTTATTTAATGTATTATTATTATTGCTATTTTAGGTTTGCTATCGAGTACATGTGCTTACCAGAGAGACATAGAGTGAAAGAGCAAGAGGGAAAATAGGAAGTGAGAGACTAGGTCCAGGACTCGAACTGCGGTCAGACATGTGGGAGTCCCAAGCTTTAACTACGGTAGCACCTGCTGGCCCAGGAATATGTGTTGTTAAGAGTTTTGTAATCAGATAAGTTTGAGCAATGCTGATATATAGAAAATATAAATTAAATCACCTCAAGGAATCTTTAGTGGTAATTCCAGGCAGACTGAATCAAATTCCACTTACTGCTTCCTGTATACTATATTCACACCTCTGCTACATCATTATCCCTAATGATACAATGATTTTTTTTCTTTTACATATTTGTATCTCAAGAGAAAGAAATCTAATTGAGTGTCTGCATTTCAATAAATGTTCAATGGATGTATGAATGAATGAATGCATGAATGGATTCTAGTTTAAAATTTCTGTCATTCACAGGTCAATATGTGACCTGGGACATGATATTAAGTCTTCCCGGGCCGCTATTTTTCTCATGTACAAAAATGAAATTGCTGGCATTTGTAATGTTTTGCTAGTGCTGAATTGAACATTTAATTTTCAGTACCTGTTTATTTATTTGAGTTAAAATCATTTATTTGAGTTAAAATTATTGTGTCCAGCCAAAACTAAGATTACACTAAGTATGAAAAAGCTCTTTATAAAGTGTAAATAATCAGTAATAAAATGGCATCTTACCAATTCATTACATTGTTTTCTGTATCTTTTATTGGGGAAAAATATGCAGATTGTATAAGTCAAGGGGTTATGAGAATATTTAAAGGATATTTACAATGGTTGAGTACTTTAAATAAAATTCAGAAAAGTATACTATCTTTGTAAAGGTCATTGAGATCTTGAGGCTATTAACTTCAAGTTTCTAGAGTTTTTCTCAGTATTCCTTTGAAAACATGTAGCAAATCTTCAAATAAAATTGATTTTTATTACTATACTTTGTACATTAGTTATTAAGATATTTCTATTTGAAAATATTTAATATAAATATTTAAGGTATTTATGTTTTGCTACAAAATGAACTCATATTCTTACTCATTTTCTTTCTTTTAGGGATGTACTCAACACTTATCCTGGACCCTTTTGAATACCAGGCAGTGATAAAAAATCATAAACAATTAAGCTTTCAAAGATTTACTGATAAAATAGCACTGAAAGCATTTTCCATCAAGAAGATGGTACACAATAATGACATGAATAATGATTTTCACTCATGCTATCAATTTTTGCAGGGCAAATCTTTGGATATACTCTTAGAAAGCATGACACAGAATATAAAACAAATGTTTGAATCCCAACTATTAAAAACAGAAAGTTGGAACAAGGCACAATTGTTTACATTCTGTAGTTCAATAATATTTGAGATTACATTTACAACCATCCATGGAAAAGTTATTAATGGTGACGGGAAAAAATTTATCAGAGAATTACAAGCTGATTTTATAAAATTTGATGATAAGTTTCCATATTTGTTATCTATACCCATTGAGCTTCTAGGAAAGGTTAAGTCTATTCGGAAAACACTTATAGAGTGCTTGACCTCCAAGAGCTTAGCTAATACACAGGGACCTTCAGAAGTTTTTCAGATGAGGCAAGAGATCCTGGAGAAATACTACACGCCTGAGGAGTTGGAGAAAGGAGGTAAGAAACTTCTGAATGATTACTTGCCTAAAATAAAATAATTTACAGTAGACCTTCGAAATAAAAAGGCAAAATGGCGACCTTGAAAATTTTTATGCTCTTTCTAATTGGCTGATGATAAAATGTTTTACTCTGAAACAACCCTCTGTGATAATTGATTTTTTTTTTTTTTTTTGCTGAGGTGGTAAAACAAGACACTTAATGGTGATAATGAGGAGTATAACTAAGCTGCATTTACTCCTCTTATCTCATCCCCCACCTCCCCGCCCCCCACACACACATTACATTTTAAACTATTCTCATTAAGCAGAAAATTAGACTTCAGAAGCCTATTGGTCCTCATTAGCATGCACTGATCCTTGGCTAGGTCTGTGTCCTAACATCTTTTAATTAGCACACTGCAAATCTAATCAGTGTAATAAACGCTATTAATCTTCCTTTTCACTTATTTTCTCCCAGCACATCATTTAGGCTTTCTCTGGGCCTCTGTGGCAAACACTATTCCTTCCATGTTCTGGACAATGTATTATCTTCTGCGGCACCCAGAAGCTATGGCAGCCGTGCATGACGAAATTGACCATTTGCTGCAGTCAACAGGTCAAAAGAAAGGGTCTGGATTTTCCATCCACCTCACCAGAGAACAATTGGACAACCTGGTCTACCTAGGTAATTTATTTTTATCTGTTATGAAGAAAAGAAGATACCTCTCTGCAAACTCGGTTTATCACTCATGGCTGTTTACTAAGAGGTGGAGGACACAGCTGCCTAATTGACATAATAACACCCATTTACATCAATTATAAATTATGTAGTTTATAGCCGTAGATACTCTCATTGCATGTAAACATTAAAGCCTAGGTAATTAACTATGCAAGGTATGCAAAAGGCTAAACCAAAGCTTTGCAATTATTTGAAAAAAAGTTTATGCCTATTAAGTCATTTGATTCTGAGCATCTGTTGGTGTGCTAATGCTTTCCAAACACTGGTGCACTATCTTGACAAGAAAAGTATTTGAGAATTGAAACGGAGAGTATTTCAGAAAGGCAACTGTGAGTAAAATACATTTATTCTTCCTTAAAGTGATGTCTATTTTCAGGCACGGTTTAGGATGTCTCATAGCTTGGAATATATGATTCTTTAAAATGTAATAAAAATGCTTTCCAGTGAAAGTTCATAATTTAAACACATTCAAGAAAAAAAAGGAAATAAAGAAAGGAAGGGGGGAGGGAAGGAAGAAAAATCAAAGACAAAGCAACAACTACCAACCACTCCTTGTGAAATGTAAGTATTTTATAAAATATAAAATATGCACTGACTCGTGAGATATATATATGGTCACTCTTGGTCGCTATTTCACGTATGTTTCAGATCACTATTAGGTAAATTTTTTTCTAGCTCTACATAGGTCTGTTTATCAGTGACATGAACTTTCTGATCAAAGCAGATCACATTCCCCTTTACTCATTTTGAGAGGGGCCTTCACTACTCTCTAAGCCTGTTTTCTGTTGCTATCACTGACTATCACAGACTGGCTAATTTATAAAAAATACAGGTTTATTTAGCTCACGGTTCTGGAGGGTGGGTAGTTCAAGAGCATGGTGTCAGCATCTGATGAAGATCTTTTTGCTGTGTTGTAATATGATGGAGAGTATCACATGGCAAGACAGAACAAGTGCACATCAGCTCAGGTCTTTCTTCCTCTTCTTATAAAGCTAACAGCTCTTACATGAGGGAGCCACCCTGAAGACTATATCTAATCCCGGGGGCCTGACCTCCAAATAGCGTTAACATATGAATTTGGGGATTAAAGTTTCTAACATATGAAATTTAGGAGACACATTCAAATCATAACAATTACTATTATCTGAATAAACTTATACTCCCATAGTTAAATTCTGTATCAATAAGTTATTTTCTATCCCTTTCGTATTAACATTTCATTCTATGGTACCATTAGGGTGCAATATTCCAAGTCCCTTTGAATAAATATACAAATCTATTCCTATTGCATATTCTTTTTACAATATAAGTAAATCTTTTAACCTATTTTGGTCTCAACTTTTTTTTTCCTAAGGGGTACTTGTACTCACCAGAGAGAGACAAAGAGAAAAGTGAGATATCACTTCTCAGGAAGAATGGCCATGCTGCAATCTCTTCTCCTCCATTCTTCTCTCTGGATTTTGGGTGCACACACAAACCCGGAGTGATTTTCAAGCAGCCAAGAGCCCCAGTTAGCCATGTGGGAATCCAGCACTTCAGCCACTATGCCACCTGCTGGCTCTACCCTCAAACTTTTAAAAAATGTATTTTTTAAAAGAATTAGTTATTTCATTAATTTCATTTCTTTTTATTATTATTTTTTAATTTTACCAGAGAAAGAAAGAGAGAGAGGAAAATTGAGAAAGCGAGCCACCAGATCTGGGACTTGAACCCTGGTCTGCCATGTGGGAGTCCAACACCTTAACAAGCACAATACCTGCTGTCCCCTAAGTCTTTGAACTATACTTAGGGTTCTTTCATGAGAATTTCTGGGCATAAAGGCTCTCCTACTCTTGGTCAGTATTGACCACCAGTGGACATTGAGAAGAATGGCCCAAGTCTTGTAGAAATTGTTCCTACTGTTCAGGCTTAGACCCATCAGAGGCAACAGCAGGAAGTGTGTCATGTACTGGCAATCAATTGAGATAAGGGTCTCATTTTGTAGTTTCCAGTCATTTGCGTACATTATCAATGAAATTTTATACTTACTTGGAGCAATAAAAGAACCCTAGCAATATTAAAATACAAATATTGAGACCAGCAGATGGCATAATGGTTATGCTGCTGGACTCCAACATAGTTGACCCCAGTTTGAGTCCCAGACCTGGTGGCTTAAAACTCATGCCAGTTGCATGTGAGTGCATGTCCAAAATCCTGTGAGGAGAATGGAGGAGAAGGGATTGCAGCTTGACCATCCCCACCAGCGGATGATTTCTCACTTTCTGTCTCTCTGTCTCTCTCTGTTTCCCTGGCAAGCGCATGTGCCCTATAGCAAAAATCTCTATAAAATAAAATACAATTATTTTCTCATATTGTTTTATATAATCCCTGGAGGAAAATACACAAAATTTGTGTAAAATTCTGAGTGGTTGCCTCTACTTTGATATAAAGTATTTTCTGGATAGAAGATTTGCAATTTCTATAAAGATCTATGTTATATTTCTCATATATTCGAATAATTTTGATTGCATTTTGTGAATAAGATGATACATATTAGAAAGTAGTGCAAATAAACTTCAGTGACTATATGTTTGTATTCTGTACATAGTTATTAACCTTAAAATTTTACTTAAGATAAATTGTGGTGCTTGATGCTAAGATGCTGTGGATGCAGGCCAGGGCCATACGGGAAACCCGAGTTGAATTCCTAGTCCAACCTAAAGACTGTGCATGGTGGTGTGTGCCTACAGACTAAGACAGTAGGATCATGACTATCTTTAAAAAAGAAAAAAATTGGGACCAGCAGATGACATTGCTGGACTCCCACATAGCTCATCATGGTTCGAGTCCCAGACCTGGTGACTCATGAGGACGTGTGTGTGTGTGTGTGTGTGTGTGTGTGTGTGTGTGTGTGTATGGCCAAGATCCTGAGAGGAGAATGGAGGAAAAGGGATTGTGACATGGCCCTCAACCGGAGTCGTGATTTCTCACTTTCCCTCTCTCTGTCTCTGCCTCTGTCTCTCTTTCCTAGGAGTGCATATGCTCTAAGGCAAAAACCTCTGCCCCCCCCAAAAAAAGGTTAGAATTCATCAACTCTCTCTTTTTATCTTCAACTCCTTGTCATTGAAAGAAAAGATCATTTTTCAATAAACTAATTATGAGTATTTCTCCATGTCAAAAGAGTGTGAGCAAAGGCAAGGTTTACAAAATTAAATATGCACTGTGCACCACATGCGCTAACCCTTCTCTCTGTAAGAAAAGAGTTCTCTGTATTTTTGGTTTAGTATAAGCTATGTGCACTTTCTGGAGTTGGAAAGAGAGATAGAAGAGAGAAAGTGAGAAACCAACCCCCCAGAGGGGACAGCCATACCACAATCCCTTCTCCTTCATTCTCCTCTCAGAGTTTTGGGCACGTGCACACGCGCACACACCTGGAGTGTTTTTCAAGCCCAAAGCTTGACTCCCTTGAAGTTGGCCATGTGGGGTTTAGCCACCATAACTTTTGCACCACTTGCTGGCCCAGGTTCTATATTTTTTAAATGCAGTTTCTTCAAGAAATAAGTACCAAATTTGTGATGAAATGAATGCTTCATTTTTTTAATATGAAGAATAATTTTGATGTTAGAACAGCAAAGTGAGTATGTGTATGTCCAAAATCCTAAAAAGAAGGAGAAGTGGAGAAGGGATTACAGCATGATCATCCCCTATGGGGGCGGGGGGATGTTTTCTCACTCTTTCTCTCTGTCTCTGTCTAGCACACATATGTGACACCTGGCAAATTAAAAAAATAATAGTAAAACTAAATGAATAAAAACAAAAATACTAAGCCAAAAACAAACAAACAAACAAGAAAACCCTCTAGGCCTGCAGGTCAGCAGATGGCATAGTGATTAAGGTGCTGGACTCCCACATGGCTGATCCCAGGTGAGTCCCAGATCTGGTGGCTTGCTTTCTCACTTTCTCTCTCTAACTCTATCTCTGGTGAGCACACATGCTCTGTAGTGAATTTTTTTAAAAAAAAATAAATAAATAATGATCAATAAAATTAGACAATAATTATTTTTTTAAAAAAAATATCTTTTACTGTTTAGTAAAGCTCTCCACAATTAAACTTAAGTAAACACTTTAAATAACTTAGTAAATATGAAATGATTCAGAAAAAAGTTTAAATAACTGCTACTGTGGGCCTAAACATGGCTCAAAAGGAAAAGCTGAACATAAAATAAACGGAAGTTTGGGGGCCAGCAGGTAGCATGGTGATAAAGGCTGGATCCCACATAGCCTACTCTACAGTTCAAGTCCTGGGCCCCACAGCTTAAAAAATCATACCAGTACATGTGAGTGCTTGCTCAAAATCCTGAGGTGAAAATGGAGAAGGAATTGTGGTGTGGCCATCACCCCCAGGGAGGGGGTGATTTCTAATTTTCTCTCTTTTTCTCTCTCTGGTGAGTGAATGTGCTCTGTGGCAAAAAATATATACATATATAAATGAAGAAGAAGAAGTTTGAGGAACTCAGAAAAAATAAAATTTGTATTCCAGTTGATCCAGAAAGAAAAAGCTCAGATAGAGGTAGGATTTAGGACTGCAGGTCTGAAATACAGAAGAGAAGAAGAAAAAGTTAACTAACTATGTGAAGATAAGAAAAAAGGTTGGGACCAACAGATGGCATAATGGCTACCTCACTGGACTCCCATGTAATCAACCACGGTTCAAGTCCCAAACCTAGTGGCTTAAACTTATGCCGGGCACGTATGTGTGAATGCTCAAGATCCTGAGAGGAGAATGGAGGAGAAGGAATTGCAGCGTGGCCAACCCCCCTTCGGGGAGATTTCTTACTTTCTTTCTCTCTGTCTCTCACTGTCTTTCTGGCAAGCACATGCACCCTATAGCAAAAACCTCTCTCAAAAAAAAAGAAAAAAGGCAAAAAGTAGAAGATCTTAACATTGAAATCTTAATAAACAGGAAG